GGCATTTATTGACCTTTAAGCTGTTGTAGTGCCACGAGCTGTCAGCGAGGAAATTGATTCAGAAATCAATCAATCGCTCGCCGCAATTATCGTAACAAAACGTAACAACGTACGATTGTGATGCAACACAATTTCACAAAAGAAATCAGGCTAAATTGAGTCTGACTGCTTTGTACTTAAGCTCGCGCTCTTCAGAGTGGAGTACGTGGCTTCTTTCGAGAGCTCTTCAACGCCCCTGCTATCCCACTCAGTATAATTACAGTGATCATGAGCGCGGGATGAGTGATGGTATTTTTGTCCTTTTTCTTCAACTTCTGGTCTTTCTTGGCATCCTCATCACCTGATTAAAAACAAAACATTTAGAAATAAGAGCCTATCCTTTTGTTCAACTTATCAATAGAACCCCTGGCACAGTATGTTAGACAGTGCAGTCTTATTACACCAATTCGGTTAGGCGCATCAAGCCATTCTATTTCCTTATATGCAGATGACACTTTATTATTTCTATCTGACTTGCAGCGCTCACTTCCTAACGCCCTCAAAATTATAGATGAATTTGGCATACTATCAGGATTTAAAATTAATCATTCTAAAACTATTTTGATGCCTCTTAATTCCAGTGGTCTCATTTTTCTATTCCAAACAATATCCTAATATCAACACAAGTTAAATATTTAGGGATCGAACTCAGACCCACTTTACCCCTCATCTCAAAAATAAACTATATGTCAATTTATGGAAAAATTGAGTCTGATATTCAAAGATGGATGTATCTGCCCTCATCACCTTCTGCCCAAATGTCAGTAATAAAAATGAATATTCTGCCTCGCATCAATTTTGTTAGTTCCATGCTTCCTCTCCCCCCACCTACAAATTATTGGAAAAAACTAGATTCTTTACTAATAAAATATATTTGGAATGGAAAACGTCCCCGCGTTAAGTGGTCTACACTTCAAAGAACTAAAATAAAAGGCGGATGGGGTTGCCCTAATTTTAAATGGTATCATTGGTCCTTTATTCTGCTCTCGGTTAAGAAATTGTTTGATCCTTGTTCACAGTCCTTGTGGAAAGAAATAGAGTAAGAGCTTATTTCACCAGTTCGTTTGCAAGATTTTTTATTTTCTGGCCTTACGTATAGGAAGTGCTCATTACATTATGGACCTATACTTTCCTATACTCTCCAAATATTTTAAAAGATTGAATCCCTTTTTCCATCTAAAACTATATGGCATACACATACTCCCGTATGGCACAATCTGAATCTGCTTTCTGGTGGACAACCATTTGTACAGCCAACTTGGGCTACAAAAGGTATTCTAACGTTAAACGATATAAATGGAGAGAAATCAATTTTAGATTTTCAAGACCATAATAGAAGCATTGAATGGGACACAGTGTGGGATAATACATTCCATGCGTCCTCAAACTCTAATCACAAATTCATTCACTTTAAAATTATTCAGAAAGCATATTTAACTACACGTATACGTTATGCTATGGGTATATCACCCCATCCATATTGCATATTTTGTGGACCAGGTTGCCTTGACACATATGTTATGGGACTGTCCAGATGTGCAAAAATTTTGGGACATTGTGCTTGATGTTTTATACAAGGTTATCAAGATTTGTTTTCCCAAAGATCCTGTTATTTTATTGTTGAATGATAATTCTCAATTTCCTATAAGTGAGAAAGAACGGAAATTTTGGCTAGCAGCTTTGACTGCGGCAAAGAAATTACTAGTTCAATGCTGGAAACCTCCTCATGACCTTTCTGCTAAGCACTGGATTCATTCCTTATTGGAAATACTCTATCTGGAACTGTCTTCTGCACGGACTAATTACGCAAAGCCTGCTACTTTATCTATTTGGAAGAACTGGATTTCCATAGTCTCGAAGATTTTGGTCATTTAATCTAAAGATGTCATTCTGTTGTTAATATTATTACCAATTTTGTTTGTATATATTTTTATATATATATTTGATTTTATATTGTTTTACTTTTGTGTTTACGTGGGTCCTGGGGTGCGATGGGGGGAGGTTCTGGGAGGGCAATGGTTTATTTAATAGGTTTTCTCTCCTTTGTTGTAATGTTTTTTTGTGTGTTCTATCAAAATAAAAAACAGTGAATTACAAAAAAAAAACAAGCTCAAAGACAGCTGTAAAGATGCTGCGCTCTTGTTTCTCAGGTACATTATACACTCGGAAATTAATTCACAATGCTTCTCAAATTGCAGTTCAGAGGCCAGCTGCATAAACACAAGCACTCTGTTAAGAATGATTAGCCAAGGTGTGCTCAGTCTTACTTTTCAGATTCAAATTAGATTAATCTACTGTTTTGTAACTGACTTTAAGAAGTTATGACCAGTCTTTAACTTTTTTATGACTAGTCTTGAAGTCCTGAATTTAAACTGAGGCAGACAGGAACTAGAATTGAAATTCAAATGAAGTAGAATAAAAATAATTGATATATATATATATATTAAGTGTTTTTTTTTTTGTCAAAACTTTGAATGATAGCCTTGTTTTAACATTTAAAGAAAGTTTTGTGGTTCTTTTCTTGGCCTTACAGACAAACAGACAGAGCAGTTTATATTTACATGCTGACAAACACTTCATTTCCCAGAATGCCATGAGCTGCTGGATTTCTCAGAAGAGCAGTTAAAGTTCACGTGTGGAACCACAGAATCTCAAGACCTTTCTGACTCAAACCAGTAATAAAACGCAATAAGAACTTTGTTTTTTAATTCAGCTGGCTCCAGCCAACACAGCATTATTTATACATGTAATTACTTAAAGGGGTCCTATTATGCTTTTTCCCTTTTTCAACTTTAGTTAGTCTGTAATGTTGCTGTCTGAGCATAAAAAAGATCTGCAAAGTTACAAAGTTCAAAGTCCACTTCAAAAGGAGATATTTTATTTAACAGAAATCACTTTTCAAAAACTACAACGAACGACTCGTTTGGACTACAACGCATAATTTCCAGGATTTGTGTTATCATAAATATCGACGAATGGGACGAGACCTGGTTGAGCTGCACTAGAGAAGGCAACGAGTGTTATCACTATGTCGGAGACACGCTAGCTTTCCCAATGCAGACGAACTTAGAGTGGTTACAATCATCCGGGTTTAAATCGCGCTCAAATTGATTTGATTTTGACGCAATATTTACACTGAAGCTCGCAGGCGGCT